TTGGCTGTGTGCGCTGCTGTGGAGAGTGCCGCCCTGTAGTAGTAGTAGGTGGCCGTCGCAATTGGAGTTTGCGACCGTGCAGCGCAACACGGGCTCTTGAAGTTCCTGGTCCACTGCCGATGAGTACGTAGGCCTGAGCAGACTCTGAGGTGACTCCATCCGTCGCAAGCATTGCACTTGACTGAAGTGGAGTTGTGGTGTAGTCTCTGGCATACACAGCAGGTGTAAGTTTCCGGCCCTGGGTTTGACTCGATGCCAGTCCTGAGCAGAAGAAATACGTAGCAAATGTAGCCCTGTGGGCAAACAACTTCTGAAATACCTAAACGGGTTTAGATCGCCGATTGAGCTATGCCCGAAGGTCCTAGCTTTCCACAGCCCAGACTCCCTGAGGGGGATTATCTTTCCGCCTATGGAAGGAAATCTAAATTGGCGTATCTTATTTCTATTTGTAAACAGTAATAACTCGGTTTTGCTGGGGTTAATGGTAAGGCCACTACTTTAAGCCATGTGTGTAGTTTACCAAGGGCCTCCTCTAAGATTTCACTTACAGTAGAAAGGAAAGGGCCTGTGACTGGTATCACTACATCGTCAGGATATGCCACTACTTTAACCCCTCATCTATTGAGTTCCAGCAATATGCTGTTCAACGCTACCACCCACAAGAGTGGTGAGAGTACGTTTCCCTGTGGGTACTCTGCTCACAAATCTAGTTACTAAACTATCTTCGCTTTTAACCTGAATGATTCTGCTTTCCAACATAGAAAGGTTGAAGGAAAGCTGCTAAAGTATATTACATGAAGTGTAGTGACTTTTCTATAAATCCCACCACATCATGCAAAGCTGACTCCGTCGACTTGCGTTTGATGTAAGCGTGTTGCGCTTAGCGATCTTATGTATATTTCCATCAACCTTTCCAGTGTTTTAAGAACAAAGGAAGTCAGGCTTAGGGGTCTAAAGTCCTTTACCGTTTCGTGGTTCTTACTTCCGGGTTTTGGAATGAATACTACCTTGACTCGTCTCCAACTCTAGGGGACATAGTTCATACTAATACAGGGTTTATAAAGAGTTGTAAGGAGCGGCGCTATTCGCTCCTTTGATTGTTGTAGCATGGCTGGTATTATACCATCTGTGCCTGGGGATTTATAGGGAGAAAAACTATTTATTGCATAAATGATCTTCTCTATGCTTGTTGTTGATTCCAGGTCCCTTCTAGGTGTTCTTGGAAGTTCTGTTCCACCTAGTGTTGTTACAGTTCTTTTTTGTATGATTTTAAGGCTTTTTTGTAAGGGTCCCATTTCTTGGACCTAAAACACTCGATAAAAGGCTTTCCAACACTGATTCTGAGAGCTCTAAGCTCCCCATTCCACCAGGGCGGGGATTTCTTTTTCATGACACTCCATGGGGTTGATCTTTCATAGGCTTTGGTCAACGCCCTCTAAATTGCTTACGTTTCGTTCTATCTCATCTGATGAGGTTATCTTTTCTCCTGAATTACCTTTGGCTGAGTTAGAATTCTATCATGTTTCACCCTGTTAGTTCTCCGTGGGTTTCTGTATTTGGAGGGGGTGTAGAATACTCCGCGTAGATTAAAGAGTATCCAGCAGTGATCGGACATCGAGCACAACACAATGCAAGCAATTCCTAGTAAGGAGCCGCAGACGTGGACACCCGAACAGACACATGCTTGCAGAGGAACCCTCGCCAAGGCACGTCAGAAGGCATCTATATGAACTGACGGACGAAGTCCAGATAACCCGATAACCCGACACAACTAAGGCCTCTGTCCCTGACCCTATAGAGGCTGCACGCTTTTTGGGTTTTCCTTTAGTTGAGCTTGACGACAACGACTGAGATACTAACCGACCTGGGCGGGGTTGTGGTAGCCGCTACAATAACATATCTACATACATATATATGGGCGTAGCCAGGTAGGGGAAGGGGGCCCGAGTGAATATGTGGAATATCCGGTTCTGTTTAGACTTATTCTCGCTAACTTCAAAGTAATTCCGTTTAAGAAGGGTAAAAAATGGCTGTAGTCGACAATGAGCGAAAATGGATTGAACGGTAAACTAATAATAACCCCCTCATTCTAGAACCCGAATTTTCGTAATTCGCAATTCGTAGCTACGTTACGAAAAACGAAAAATCGACATGCTGCAACCCTTGCGGAAACCTGTGCAGCATTGCCAGCTATCAGTTATTTTTCGAAAACAGCTGTATGAAGGAAAACAAAGTGGAAAGGAATTAAAAAACATTAATCAAGTGCTTATTTATGGTAAAATTGTTTGATCTTACATATTTTGAAGCAAACGATGAATTCTATTGCATTTGCAATTATAGCAGCAGAGTAAGAGCGCGCTTTGGAAATGAATTCACAAAGATATGCGGAGCTGTCGGGCATAGTAACCATGGACGCATCTATGTCAGCTTCTGGTAAAATTGTTGAACCACAACCTCCTATGCCTGAAGAACTGGTTCTCAATCCAGTTAATGCAATAATAGCTTCTTCCAAGCCATTGAAAACATGCACTTTGTTGGGTCTACCATCTGTTGCGCTTTCTTCTGCCTTCGGACGCGCTTAGGGCTTATAACCCTTACTAAGTATAATTCTTCTTTCTGTTTTGCCGGAGAAAAGGGGCTACCGCATGTCAAAGTCATATAACATTTCTTGTGAATATTATTCCGGCTGCGTCATTCACAGTACGTTTGCGCAGAACCCACATCGAAATTTACAAAACAGTGCACAATGCAAATCGAATTTATTAATAAACTATTGCTCGGAATTTGAAACATTTATTTTAAATTAAAGTTTGATCCTTTGATTACACGTGTATGTTAAAGTTTTTAGATTCGGGTTATGCGTTTGGACACAACAACCGAAAATCATTGTACAAATAACTAAACCGGACCAAATTTTCTCGATGAGGGGCAATAAACATTCTTTTTTGTTCGTTCATATAAAGCAGTGGATAAAAATATACGTATATACGAAAGGCAAATTTGTCTGTTTAAAACAACACCACTAATATTTCCTGAAAACACACATCGATTTACATCTTTTATCCCGCTTCCGACACAGAATTGTTTCGTACAAAATTACGCAAAAAAACTAAATTTCTTACTCGTTCGTTTTTAGGCATGCCATTGTTACGAATTTCGAAAGTTCGAAAATACGATTCGGATTGCAGCATACTATTTTTACGATTCGTAGCAAAATCCGAATACGAAAGAGTTGAAGAATTGGGGTGTAAATATATAAGTTCAACTGTTTATTACTTTGTCTTTTAAGTGTACGTGGAATGTTTGTGTGTAGAACCAATCTGAGATTATTGATAAAACTAGAGACCAGTTTGGTGAGCAGCTAAGGCGTTTACTTCTTAAGTAATTACAGCTTGCAACGATGTATACCACCCCTATTCTGCAACTCTTTCGTATTCGGATTTTGCTACGAATCGTAGAAATAGTATGCTGCAATCCAAATCGTATTTTCGAACTTTCGAAATTCGTAACATTGGCATGCCTAAAAACGAACTAGTAAGCTTTTTTGCTTAAATTTGTACGAAAACAATTCTGTGTCGGAGGCGAGATAAGAGATGTAAATCGATGTGTGTTTGCAAGAAATACTAGTGGTGTTCATTTAAACAGATAAATTTGCCTGCGCATATACGTCCCTCTTCTCTGGCAACACAGAAAGGAGANTTTTCTCGATGAGGGGCAATAAACATTCTTTTTTGTTCGTTCATATAAAGCAGTGGATAAAAATATACGTATATACGAAAGGCAAATTTGTCTGTTTAAAACAACACCACTAATATTTCCTGAAAACACACATCGATTTACATCTTTTATCCCGCTTCCGACACAGAATTGTTTCGTACAAAATTACGCAAAAAAACTAAATTTCTTACTCGTTCGTTTTTAGGCATGCCATTGTTACGAATTTCGAAAGTTCGAAAATACGATTCGGATTGCAGCATACTATTTTTACGATTCGTAGCAAAATCCGAATACGAAAGAGTTGAAGAATTGGGGTGTAAATATATAAGTTCAACTGTTTATTACTTTGTCTTTTAAGTGTACGTGGAATGTTTGTGTGTAGAACCAATCTGAGATTATTGATAAAACTAGAGACCAGTTTGGTGAGCAGCTAAGGCGTTTACTTCTTAAGTAATTACAGCTTGCAACGATGTATACCACCCCTATTCTGCAACTCTTTCGTATTCGGATTTTGCTACGAATCGTAGAAATAGTATGCTGCAATCCAAATCGTATTTTCGAACTTTCGAAATTCGTAACATTGGCATGCCTAAAAACGAACTAGTAAGCTTTTTTGCTTAAATTTGTACGAAAACAATTCTGTGTCGGAGGCGAGATAAGAGATGTAAATCGATGTGTGTTTGCAAGAAATACTAGTGGTGTTCATTTAAACAGATAAATTTGCCTGCGCATATACGTCCCTCTTCTCTGGCAACACAGAAAGGAGAATTCTACTTAGTAGGGGTTATAATCCCTAAGCGCGGCCGAAGGCAGTAGCAAGTGCAACAGGTGGTGGAACTAACAAAGTGCATGTTTTCAATGGCTTGAAAGAAGCTTTTATTGCATTAACTGGATTGAGAACCAGTTCTTCAGGCGTAGGAGGAGTTCTGGCTTGTGGTTCAACCATTCAACTAGAAGCTGACATAGATGCGCCCATGGTTACTATGCCCGACGGCTCCGTATATCTTTGTGAAATCATTCCCATAGCGCGCTCTTACTCCGCTGCTATAATTGCAAATGCAATAGAATCCATCGTTTCCTTCAAAATATGTAAAATCAAACAATTTTACTATAAATAAGCACTTCATGAGTGTTTTCGTTGCAGCATGTGGATTTTTCGTTTTTCCTAGCGTAGCTACGAATTACGCATTACGAAAATTCGGGTTCTAGAATAAGGGGGTATATCTATCTCGATTCGTTTTGCCTGTTACAAACAAACGTTATGTGAATAAAGTTTAAATACCCTTGTGCACAAGTGCGCTCGGGTATAATTATAATTTGAATACAAATTAAATTAAAAGTTATGTTACTTCCGAAAACAAGGATATTAATTTCAGTCATTTTTGGACACACAAGGAAGCAAAAAAGTAAATTTATTAATAAACAGCCTAAATATTTTTGTGTATTGTTCACTTCAATTGCCGCATAAGAACGCAATAAATATTTCCAAAATTTTGAAATTTTCATTGCCACATGATTGCCAATCGAGCCATCACACGATAGCCGCAACCGGGTTGTATTTGATTTTAGGCACAGTAAGCGCAATATCGGGCTCTATTGCCGCATGAGTCAATTTATTGTGAAATCAGACGATTGGGGCATAAAATGAGGCAATATTTGGTGTATTGCGGCAATCGTGGGATCTCAGCTTAAGAATTCCAGGTATAATATTTGATAATAAACTTACGTTTAAGCAACATTGTATACATTTAAGAACCACCCTAGATACTAGGCTCAACATAATCAAATATCTTTCATTAAAACACTGCCTAGTTCATCCTAGTACGCTTATAAATGCAACGAAAGCCCTCATGCTTTCAAAAAATGGACAATGGTCTGGCCATTTACGGGTCCTGTGCTCGGAGCAACCTGAGCCGCATTCTACGGCCATATCATTCTGCGGGCAGAAGATGCATACGCGCTTTTCCAACATCTCTGGTGGAATACACTCTGACTGAAACAGGTATTCTTGCATTGGAAGAGAGAACCCAATATAACACGCTTAAATTAATAACAAAACTCATGCAGCCCAATAACGTAATCCTGCACAACAAAACACACAAAAAGGATGAAAATGTTGAACCGTCAATCAACCATCATAAGATGCCTCAATAAAGCGGCTGAATTAGGTATTGATTTCAAGCCTTTCAAACCTAACATCAACCGTCCTCCACCATGGTTCAAATTTCGAAGGCTTATGTTTCTCAACCTGACAGCGTACGATAAAAACACCACGTCGCCAGCAGCATACATGTAATAAGTAAGGTTCACATTGGAGACATACCATTAAATGACACAATACAATGAAATGAGATGCTATAAAATATTGTGAACACAATGTTACTGTAACCAGTTCATGACAAATGAAGAAGAACATTACACATAGATTGAGAATGGTGCTTAGAGTGTAGAATAGAAGAAAAATAAAGTTAGTCGTGAGATAGACATAAAACGATATACAGGCGTACTTAATACATGGTGTTGGAAGCAAACATTTTACAAAATGGCTGTTAATCAACGTGTATCGGAGCCGCTTGACTGTACCAACATAGCGATTGAGTGGCCATCGTGGAAAAGAAATTTCATGGTTTATCTAATTGCAAACAACAAGATAAAAGAAGATGAAGCAACAAAGATTGCAACGTTTCTTTGGCTAATTGGCGTGCAGGGCGCTAACATCTACAGCTCAATATTCCCCAATGATGGAACGAGTGACTCGTTGCTGGGTACAACGAAAGCAACAGCAGCCGGGGAGACTGGTGAAGGAGAACAGTTCAACGCGGGCGATGTTATACAGCAACGATAGATACTGTTATTAAGGCGTTCGATGATTACTGCTTGCCTCAAAAAAATGTCGCTATGGAGTCGTACAAGTTTAACTCAATTGCACAAAAAGAGAAACAAATGTTTAACGAGTTTGAAACTGAGCTACGTACGCAGCTAAGTCGATGCGAGTACACATGTGGCTCGTGCGGCAAATCGTACGAGGAGCGTATGTTACGTAACAGAATCCTGATCGGCATACTTGACAAGAAGTTACAGCTCAGATTGTTGGACGACCGGAATATCTCGTTGGAAAAAGCAACTGATATGTGTAAAGCTTTTGAAGAGGCGACTGTTAAGTGTGGCGAAAACTGGGACACAAAGCACGCAGAGAGATACAAAGCAAAGGGGCAGGTGTGCAGGAGCTGCTCTAAGGTTGGACATTTTGAACGCATGTGCCGTCAGACAAAGATGAATAACAACAACAGCAGCAGAGGCAGTGGCAGCAAACCTAACGCAGACAGCGGAAAAATAGTTAATCGGAAAGTCAATAGCCTGGACTGGGACAATTCATGTAAGTCGTTTAATGTTAAGTCGGAATGTGAATCGGAGTACAATTATAGCAATCATAAATTTAATTTTAGATTAAACTCAGTAGAAAGTAGCAAGTGGACAAAGGAATATGAAATTGGAAACCAAACAGTTAAATTTAAGATAGACACATGGGCTGACGTTAACTGTTTACCAGCAAAGTTACTTAAACAGTTAGATATTAGTATACTAGATGTAGATAGGAAGAAAAATTTTTCCCCATTTTGATTGCAGCAACAACAAAATTAATGTACATGGAGTAATTGAATTAAAATGTAAAGATCTAAAAACAAAAGCTAATCACGTAGCTACATTTGTTGTTGTTAATGATAACTCAGAACCAATCCTCGGACTTCAGACCAGTATTAATTTTGGGTTGATTAAACGGGTGGATGCCAAAGCTATGCTTGGTTGCCTACCGGAAAAGAAAGATCAATTCTTGAAAGATAACTGGGATTTGTTTCATGGTACCGGTAAGTTTCCGGGAACGTTTACAATATATTTGAAGGAGAATTCCAAACCAGTTTTGCATTACAAAAAGCGGGCTTATTGCTTTGGTTGATAAACTTAAATATGAAATAGAACAAATGATAGCTGAAGGGATTGTTTCGGAAGTTGATTACCCAACCGACTGGGTTAACAATTTACAGATTGTTGAGCGGCCTGGTGGTGGACGTTTACGTTTATGTTTAAACCTGAAGCCGCTTAACGCATGCATAAAACGCGAAAATTTCCTACTCCCTACCATTGACAACTTTACGTCAAAACTAGCCAATAAAAAGGTGTTCACTGTGCTGGATCTCAGTAGTGCATTTTGGCACATGCATCTAGACGAGAAAAGCTCAAAACTGACCACGTTTATGACCCCATTTGGTAGATACAAGTTCAATCGGGTTCCATACGGGTGAAATTGTGCACCTGTAATGTTCCAGCGGAAGATGATTCAAATTTTCGGGGACATACAAGGGGTTTTGATATACTTTGATGATATTATCTTCGCGGACGACGGTATTGAACACGATAATATCATAACGAGAGTTATTGAACGGGCACGTATAAATAATGTAAAATTCAATCCAGCCAAAATACAATATAGACAAAAGGAAGTTAGGTTCATGGGACATATCATCTCGGCGGGTAAAATTAGACCAATAGGGAAATACATAAATGCAATCCTGGAAATGGAAACACCTCGTGATAAAGGGTCGGTTGCAAGGTTTTTAGGTTTTCTGAAATATATTTCGCGATTTATACCCAATCTTTCGAAGTCAACGGCAAATCTGCGTTGCTTAACGCGAAACGGTGTGCAGTTTGAGTGGACAGAGGTACATGAAGCAGAGTTTAGGGACCTTCTTAAAGTTATATCATCGGATCCGGTTTTAGCAATTTACGATCCTAAGAAGAGTGCAGTCGTTCAGACGTATGCGTCAAAAGATGGTCTTGGGTGCGTTCTCCTACAGGAGGGACACCCTGTAGCATATGCTTTACGTACACTGAGCAAAAATGAACAAAAGTGGGCTCAAATAGAGAAAGAATTACTAGCAATTGTGTTTGCATGTCACCGATTTCACTTATTTTTGTATGGACGAAAGTCATCATAAACCACTGGAAACTCTAATAAAGCAGGATATCGATAACCGTTACAGCACGTTTACAGCGTATGTTCATGCTACTACTCAAGTAGCCTAATATGAATATTGTCTACAAGCCAGGTAGTGACATGTTAATTGCTGACTGCTTATCAAGAGCACCGGTGAAAGAGGTAGAAGAAGTTAAGGAACTAATGGGAATAATTCACTCGGTGACCAAATCTGTTTGCCTGTCAGAAAACAATTATAATAACTACCGTGAAACTTTGTTGAAAGATGAGAAATTTGGAAGAATTTGTAAATATGTGAGAAACGGGTGGCCCGGGTACCATAAACTTGATGAATTCAGTCAAGTATTTTACAAGATAAAGTCACTATTGCACGTTGAAAATGAAGTACTATTTTTAAATCACAGGTTAGCACAACTGCGTTACAAGATAAAATTGCCGCATCACTCCATGGACCGCACTTGGGCATAGAAAAAACACTGTCAAAAGTTCGGAGGTTATACTTCTGGCCTGGAATGAACGAAAAAATAAAAAACTTAGTAGGATCTTGTTCAGTTTGTGAAAAGTTCAAGCGAAACATTCAAAAAGAGCCACTAGTACTAGATCAAGAGGAAACTCCAAATTACCCATATCATATTGTAGCAATGGACTTATTCGAATACGCTGGTCGCGATTTCATTGCCGTTATAGATGCTTACTCTAATTAGCGTCATTTGAGCTAAGTAATAAAACGTCAACGCACATAGTCAAGGGTGTTCGAGGATTGTTTGACAAGGTTAAGTATCCAAGGATAATTAAATCCGATAACAGTCCTTTCAGTTCCGCCGAGTTTGAGCGGTTCGCAAACGAATATAACATCCAATTCCGATTCTCAAGTCCACGATATCCTCAAAGTAATGGACTGGCTGAAAAGGCCGTGGCAATTTCAAAAAACATATTAAAAAGATGCTACGAGACAAATGAAGTTGATCAATTTCAGTATAAAATCCTTGAGTACAACACAACACCGGTAGCAAGCATGGGGTTGGCACCAGCCGAGTTATTCTTCGGTAGGTTAATTAAAACGAAATTGCTGGTGTCTGAAACATTACTACTGTTAAACAACATAGATAAATCGGAAGTCAAAAAGAAAATAGAAAATAAAAAGGAAAAACAAAAATTTTATTATGATTGTTCTGCAAAAACTTTGCCAAAACTCAATATAGGGGATACAGTAATTTTCAAAAAGAACTCGAAGGAGTGGAATTATGGAACGATTGCTGGTAACACAAATGAAAAGTCATATATAATCAGGGACAGTTTTAACTACTTGTTCAGACGCAATCGCAGATTATCGCAAAGTCGGTGAACACTGATTTCAAAGCCAGTGATTTATGGACTGCAGAAAGTGCTATTAGAAAAGGACGTGAGTCTGAAAGTCAAACGAAACAAGTAGCGAAACAAATACTTCAGCAGATTTCAACAACTCAGTGGCTGAGACTGTTGGAAGTGACCCCTCAGTATCAAACGCAGCACATGAAGTAGCACCACATACAACAAGAAGTGGTCGCGTTGTTAGGCCCACTCAAAGATACGGGTGGTAGCTGAGTGGTTAACGCTTTCTTTGTCTGTTGTCCATTTGCTATTTGCTAACACATGTACATATATAATATATTTAAAAAAAAAAAAAATACAATAGCGTGTAATAAGTAAGGTTCACATTGGAGACATACCATTAAATGACACATTACAATGAAATGAGATGCTCTAAAATATTGTAAACACAATGTTATTGTAACCAGTTCATGACAAATGAAGAAGAACATTACACATAGATTGAGAATAGTGCTTAGACTGTAGAATATAAGAAAAATAAAGTTAGTCGTGAGATAGACATAAAACGATATACAGGCGTACTTAATACAATACAGCCAAAACTTCACCCAAATAGAAACGGATCTAAAACAGCAGGATTGGAACTTCCTATATGCGGATGGGACAAAAATCAAGGAGATCACTGCTTTCGCGGCCAAAGAAGCAAACGGTAATACCATCGCGGTGGGTAACCTACCTTGGTGTATACAGCGGAAACTATTGCTATACTCTTAGCAACACAATTTGCTCTCAAATCAAAAAAGGAACACGTCATCTGCTCCGATAGTTTGTCAACGATACAATTTATCACCAATTCAAACAACAACAACAACTTACTAGTATCACTTATCCGCGACGCACTGTATCTAAGGCATAATCACATGAAAATTATGTGGGTTCCCAGCCATGTTGGCATATACGGCAACGAAGCCGCGGACGTTAGAGCAAGGGAGGCAGCCAGTCAACCTCTCTACACGGTAAACTTGGTACAAAAGAAAGATTTTCACAATTTTGCTAAACTAAACTTAGCGAGCAGAAAAAGCAAACGTTGGAAAGAGTACACCCACCATTATACTAACCTGACCACCGAAGGCCTCAAACCTAACTTCCTTACCAGCACGAACTGCCATAACCTCAAAAGGTTCAGCAGAATGCGCAGTGGACACGCTATCGCTACACAGAGCTATCTACTTAATGGTTCGCCCCCGCCACAGTGCCCATATTGCCCCAACCACGTACTATCCATCACACACCTGTTAAACGATTGCAACGCTTTCGACTCAGCTAGACACCTTTGGAAATACCACTCCGATAGAGATACTAAAAAACACCGACGAAAAATCGATCCAAAAAATAAACAATTTCCACAAACTGGCTTATCTGATGAGGTTAAGCTAGAGTTAACCCTCATTTAGATATATGCTAATATCATTTCAAAAAAAAACGAAAAAATTAAAAGTGAGCCGAAGGTGGTATGAAACTAGCGCTCCAAACACTATTCAAGTGGTAATTCACTCACTCCTTTTCTTATAATAAATAAATAAAATTTTGGTAATGAAACGTTCCCGTTAAAATGGAAATCGTGAAATATTCGTTAGAGGATCGACTAGGCGTTTATTTTTCAAATCAACTAAAAGTCCAAATTTTGATAAGAAATCTGCTCCTAAATGGAAATTATCTTCTTATGTTTAAATTTACATTAATTAATTTTTTTCCAAAAGTCTTAATACTACTTGCATTAGCCGCAGTTAAAAACAAGTCTGAAGGTCTCTTGAATTGCCTAAATTTTGAAGATGGTAACACCAGTATCTCCGCACCACTGTCTATCAAAAAATTTCAATTGTTTCCATTATCGTAAACGAAAAGGCGACGAGCACAAACAGTTTTTGACCCATCATTTGTCGCCAAAATGATGGGTGACTTTAGTTTCCCTTTTTGTTATATAAACATGGTTGTTCGTATTTGCGCGCTCTACTTCCAAACCGATAGTGAAAGCGACATAGCCAGTCACGTGATGTCGATCTTTACGATTTGTGCTACGAAATCGGGACTGCTCTGAAGACATTGGCTGATTTTCAATTGAATTACGAATCGAGCATACCTCAACAGATAATTTTGAAAAATTTTGGCACATACTTGTTGTAATCTTAAGAACATTTTCCATCGCCTTTTCAATACCGTTATTAATTTGGTGTACTGAATCAAAGAATTACGGGTCGATTATCGATAGCAAGCGAACTTCAGTTGCGTTGCTAGTTGCCAAAGTGATATTACAGATGGCAACTGGCAACTTTCAACTGACAACTCCAGTTGCTACAAAGTGTGTATAAAGGCAACTACATTTTTGTGGTAGCTTGGAATGTTTTTGGAGCGTATTTAGGAGAGAAAATTGAAAAGTTTGTTATATATTTTACTTTTAAAAATTAGAACGATATTAACATTTTGCAATGCAGTTTTCTTTTACAGAATATGGTGAAAATAACAAAACAATAACTTGAAATTTTAGTTCCCATGGAGTATACCCTTTTGGCGAAACAAAAGCGAACACTGATTGCAATTTTTTTCCTTTATCAACTGAAGCACCTCTTTTAAAACTACCGACGCACCAAGTTTTCCAAATTGAAGTCATTGCTGTGGCACTTCATCTACGAAAAATCAACGAGGTGCGCAAGCTTTTATGAGCGGAGGTATTGAAGTTGAATGAAGTGGTTCATCTGTTTATTAACCAATTATACTACAGCTTCTTTTGGAAGTCCTCAATACGCCTTGAAAATTAATACAAAACGATAATAAAAGAAAAAACTTTAAAGCA